TCGTTGTTGAGAGAGATCACGCCAGTACGCACGCACGCACGCACGCACACACACACACACACACACACACACACACACACACACAACAGTGACACACCACACACACCAAAACACACACACACACACACACACACACACTACACACATATATATTAATTATATAATATATATATATATATAATTATGTAATAATTATTATATATATATATATGTATATATATATACCCATATATAATATACTACACATAATATAATATATATATAATATAATATAACTACACACTGAAATAAAGCCCATTTCTATTTATTTCTTTATAGAATATTTATTTCTCTTTTTCCTCTAATTGCGTTGTCCTTCAAACAAAAGAACAATTACAGGCGACTAATATGTGAAACGTTGACTGGCCGCGCACAACGGCAACCGTGTTGCACGCAACCAATCAACCCACTGTGCCAAACGTCTCTTGTTGCAGACGCAACGACTATTGAAGTCCAGCGAGCTGACCAGCCAGGCGACGCTTAATAGATCTGCTAGCGATCGAGAGTCATCTTACGAACTTTCACCCTCAACCTGTGCTGCCAGCATGTATGACACCACCACACTCTCTCTCTCTCTGTTTCTCTCTCTCTCATATCTCTCTCTCTCTCTCTCTTTCTCTCTCTCTCTCTCTTTTCTCTCTCTCTCTCTCGCTCTCTACATCTCTCTCTCTCTTGTCTCATCTCTCTCACTCTTCTCCGTGTGATGTGCTGTAGTGGTGTGTGTGTGTGTTGTGTGTGTGTGTTGTTGCGCGCGGGCGCGCTTGCGTGGATGCGTTGTCTGGCGTCGTGTATGTTGTTTCCCTGCTACTCTATCTCCTGTCCTGTCTCTCTCCTCTCTCTCTCTTTCTCTCCCGGCCTCTCTTCCACTCTCCATCTCACTCGCTTCCACTCCTTCTCTCCCTCTCTCTCTCTCTCTCTCTCTCTACTCTCTTTCTTTCTCTCTTCCGCGCTCTCTCACTCCCTCTTTCTTAATCGCTTCCACTCCTCTCTCGCTCTCTCTCTCCTCTCTCTCTCTCTCTCGTTCTCTCTCTCTCTCTCTCTCGCTCTCTCTCTCTTTGTTATCTCTCCCTTTCTTTTCTCTTTTCCCATTCCACCGACTTATATCAGGTTTTATTATGCTCACTACGACTTCACTTACACCGACTTTGATACTACCTCCACTACGCTGCTGTTAAATCATTGCATCCATTGTTTTCCTTGTTCTGTAAGGCGATGAGTATTAACAAAGACCCTCTATAGTATATAGGGTCTTTGGTATTAATAACTGAGGCTCTCGCTTGCTCGGTGACAGGTTTGCGAACGGAGCCATCTATTACGGCATCGGGCTGAACACGGCGGCGCTGGGCGGCGATCTCTACATCAGCTTTCTGATATCGGGTATCGTCGAGATACCGGGATACCTGGTGACGATGTATCTGATGCAGACGTTCGGACGTAAACCAGCCATCATAGGACTGATGATCACCAGCGGAGTCTCCTGTCTCGTGGCATCGTTTCTCGCCGGTGGTAACGACGACTGCTTCACCTCTCCTTTCCTCTCTATTTTACTCGCTCCCGTATCTCTTTGTCGCTGTCTCAGTCCCTTTCTCTCTCTCTCTCCCTCTCTTTCTGTCTGTCTCTCTCTCTCCCTCACACTCTCTCTCTCTCTCTCTGTCTCTCTCTCTCTCTGTCCTGTCTCTCTTTTCTCTCTCTGTGTTTCTCTTCCCCCTCCCCCTATTCGTTCTCGTTCGTCTCTCTCTCGCCTTTCCTATTTCGCGCGCACACACCCATACACGCGCAGCGCACACACATACACAACGTCACACGCTCATCACACACACACTCACACACACACACACACACACACCACACACACACACTATCGACTTCGCACGTCGACTCGCACTATTTACTTACTACACCACACGTCACGCGCGCGCGCCACACACACACCACCCACACACACCCCCCCACCCCCCACCCACACACACACGCGCGCGCGCGCGCGCGCACGCACGCATGCACGCACACGCACGCACGCACGCACGCACGCACGCGCGCGCGCTGACTGGCACCTCTCTACGCTGCTTTCTGCAATGTTTACTTCAATCTAACACGATCAATCCGTGAACACGTTATCTACTATGTCACACGAGACCCAAATATTAGACACGCACGTCCCCTGCTCTTATATTCACACCTCACACCACTGGTCGACATATAACATCAGTAGTAACATAAATAAAAATAAAAGACCACTAAGTCTTGTTTCAATTCAGTCTTGATAACATAAATATATAACTAATATATATATATATATATAACTAATACATATATATATAAATAATATATATATATATATATATATATATATATATATATATATATCGATATATATATCATGATATCGATGATCAGTGGCTCGATCAAACTCTCTGTTGCAGCATATGTTTTAGGTGATTTATATGCTCTGGTTGCAGTCAGTGTTCCGGCTGCGGTCGCGCTAAGCATGCTGGGTAAGCTGGCCGTATCCGGATCGTTCGGGGCCGAGTACGTGTTCGTGTCGGAGTCGTATCCGAGCGCACTGCGCAACACCGGACTCGGTGTGACGCTGACGATGGCCAGGACCGGCGCTGTTGTCGCTCCGTTCATCGTGCTCACAGTAAGCTATAGTTCTACTTACGCAGCCATTTGCCCTTATAGGTTAGTTGCTAGGGTAGTTGCTAGAAAGAGGTAGGGGGAAGTACTCCTCCTGTCTTCTCCTCCAGTCTGGGAGGCTTAGCACCTCGTCAAGAAAATAAAGGCGAGGAATTTGAATGATTAAAAAAAAACATGAAATCGCTCTTCATCTGCAGGGCTGCGCTAGTCGCAGTAACTTGTCAACAAATCACAAGTCAATGGCGGATCTATGTGTACATACGATGTATTACAATATATCAATAGTTATACGATGTAACAATTATTACTGCTAAACCCATAACAAATGCGATTTTAATTATTGAGTTTAAAAAAAACGGGATCCCAATTTTTTAGATAACCTTTGATCCCCTACTCGCAACGTGGGTTCACAGTCCGCTCTTCCACAATGCAGTCGGTTCTCTACATTTCGAATGGAACACATGACCGCAACTATCCCTCCTCGCCCAAGCCTTTACATTTTGGTACAGGCTCATGCAATCTCAGCAGATCTTTACGTCAATAAATTGTCCCCGAGACATTTACGCTAGGATAGCGTCAGAGCGATCATTTTCTAGGGTACAATTGATTGGTCTAGAGTCTAGACTAGCATGTTGTGCGGTAAAGCTGTGCCTTTCGTTATGGCTTTTGGCTTTCATTTATCGGTAGACAAACTCCAATAAGGTCCACAAAATTATTTTGCGCTACGGGTTCCTTTTCCCAGTTAGTGTCCCTTTCATGGCTGACTAGTATTCGGTGATCGTAGCCTTTCCTCGGGCATTCTCATTGCGTGCACGGGCAATCTGATGCTCGTACACATCTTATACGTCACGTGCGATTATAGCCAGTGGTAATTGCATGCCAGCACTTATCTAACTATATATATATATATATATAGCAGCTGATCCGCTCGACGGGAAACTATCAAATTCAATCATTAGAATGTATTGCAGCCGCTGTGTTTTGGAATTATCGATTGATTAGTTAGTGTTACGTTCGTTGGCGCGGGTACACACTAGCATCCGTAGCCAGGCAGCCTCCCGGCGTTTAAACATTGTCTGATTATATTACGGCGAAGCGCAGGATGTGGCTGGAGTTTATGGGGGTAACGTTGTAGGCTTGACTGCTAAATGCTGGCAGGTAGCCAGTATGTCGTGATGCGCGCTAAAATACGACGTTTTGCGCAGTCAATTGTTACATCCTTACGTGCACGTATGCCATTCGACGTGCACGCATGGCGGATGAAAACGCCACAAGAATGCACGTGAACACGTATTTACGCGCGCTCTAGCAGCAGACAAGCACGCACCGGCACGTCATTACACACGTTGGGCCTACGATCGGGTTAAAGTTCGAATTATTGTCAGTTTAGGATTTAGGGTTAAGGTTGTGTAATCACAGTCCTAACTTTGGATGTAACCTTGGCCCTAAAACGGACCTCCTGGGTCACAATAGATAAGACGAAGTATGATAGATATGTGTGTACGTGCGTGCGCGCGTGCGTGCGTGCGTGCGTGCGTGCGTGTGTGTGTGTGTTAGAGAGAGTGTGCGTGTGTGCGTGCGTGCGTGCGTGCGTGTGTGTGTGTGTGAGAGAGTGTGCGTGTGTGTGTGTGTGTGTGTGTGTGTGTGTGTGTGTGTGTGTGTGTGTGTGTGTGTGTGTGTGTGTGTGTGTGTGTGTGTGTGTGTGTGTGTGTGTGTGTTAGTGGTGCGTGCTGGTGCGTGCGTGCGTGGGTGCGTGCGTGCCGTGCGTGTGTGTGTGTGAGAGAGAGAAAGAGAGAGAGAGAGAGAGAGAGATGAGAGAGAGAGAGAGAGACGGTGGCGCGTGTTGCGTGCGTGTGTGTGTGTGTGTGTGTGTGTGTGTGTGTGTGTGTGTGTGTGTGTGTGTGTGTGTGGTTGTGTGTGCGTGCGTGTACGTTCGCTGGGACGTGCGTTGACTGTACAGCAAGCTCTTTTTCCCCACCAGGGTTCAGCACAGCACCACCTTCCCTACATCATCTTCTGCGCGCTGGCAGTGGCGTCGGCACTGCTACTGCTGATATTGCCCGAGACGAAGGACAGAGACATGCCCGACACGCTCGAAGACTGCGATCGATTTCTCGAAGGGTTCGTGAAAATCAATTGCAGGCATTTCCGGCTTTAGTCGCTTACAGCATTGCTTATCGCGACTTTCGCAGCAGCCAACACGTGCTGCCATCTAGCGGGTGAAAATAATTAAAACGCACACGCGATGAGATCACTGATATATATATTATATCAGTAGATGGGATGGATGGGTGAGGTGATGGGGTGTATTAAAGAAGATTGCAGGTAGGATAGTGAAATAGCCAGAATAGACCGTACGAACGATAGGTACACGGGTAGAATCACATCTAAATCATTAACTAATTAAAAGAAGGCTAGGGTGACGCGAGGGAGACACACTCTCTAAACCGATACGTTACTCGTATGATTTGCGGATGCGTGTCATCCCCGGGCCCCCAATCAGTGTTATTTAGGATACGCATATGCTCGTTCCCTCCCTTTGAAAGCACCCCCTATCCCAGGACTGCCAAAATGTCTGAACTCCCCTTTCGCGGGCTTTTTGCGGGTTTTTCCTGCATTGGAGACCCCCCTAAATCCGAAATAATCCTGAATAAGCTTTCAAAACTAGCAGGAATTTCAGGAATTTGATCACGGGATTTGATAAGGTTTTCTCTGATATTCAAGATGAAAGAGAGAGAGGAAAAACACCCCCTTTTTAAAGAAATCTCCGGGTGAAAAGTCGAATACACCCCCTTTTTTACAATTCTTGGGCCGGATTTTGTCGCGCGTAAAATACCCCTTTACCGGAGATTTTGGGAACGCGCATGCGGTCCCTCCGACCTCGGAGTGGGGGGCCCGGGGTGTCATCCAGACTATTCTAGCATAATAAGAGAATTAGTGAGCTAGCGTGTTACCGGGGACACCAACACATTTAAGCAATGCTATGTTATGCTATGCTATGCTATTCTATGTTATGCTATGATATTCTATGATATTCTATGCTATGCTATTGCTGAGAGGGTCTATGTACCACAGGGTACTGGCGGAACGTACCCTGGGTACGGTCGTCCGGTATACCGGAACGTACGCTGGTACTATCTAATATGCCGGACCGTAACTTGCCTACTCCACTAACGAGTCTAGGGAGTCGCCTACGCCTACGGCTACGCCTACTCCCTAACCATATCAGATAGTTACCAGGGTACGTTCCGGCAGTACCCTGGGGGACATAGACCCTATGAGCTATGCTATTCTATGCTGTTAACAGGGGCGTGTACAAAGGGGGGGTCCAGGGGGTCCGGACCCCCCCCCTGCTCGCGCAGAAAACGCATCTAAGGAGGTCTAATTTCAAAAAATTTCTGGGCGAGGGCCTCCCCCAGACCCCCCCATTCGCGTGCTCCCAAGTTTGGGTTACGGTTAGACCCCCCCTGGTTCAAATCCTGTACACGCCCCTGCAGTTATACTATGTTATTGTAGTGCCTCTAGGGTAGACGACTACGGTTCGACAGACGTTAGGTAGTAACGTCTGCCCAGTTGTGGGATCAGTGTCCGCTCTTGTCGATGTATTAGACAAGACGGCGATGACACGTAGCCGATAGCAGGTGAACAGAACACGGGGAGATTCGGTTAACGATACGGTGATATAGCTTTTATTGCGTGTTACTAATGTACAAATGATTCCCCTGCATTCGTATATGCAGCGGCCTTTTATTGATCCCGTCTAATATCTACGCGTCGCCGGCTCCGTCTGCTTCCCTCACGTTCGTCCTTGCCTTGCGTGGATCCACACCGTCTCCCGGGTGTCTCCCTCGCAGTCGCTCCCAGCTCTACCAGAATGCCGTTCTTCGCCCGTTTTATTCCCCTCTTCCGTTCGGCTCTGGTTTACACCTACCTAAAACCCTGTGCGTCTATCCTCTCGCTACAACGCTGCCGTTCGCTCTCTCCCTGTTCCTTCCTCCCTCTCCTTCTTCCCGCCTTCCTACCTATAACCTATCCCTGAAAAATAACTCTTCCTCTTTCTCCTCGTTCTCGGCTTCTTCTTCCTGTTCTTCCTGGACCTGTACCTATAACTGCCTGAGCTGCGATTCTGTGCTCCTTTTATACCCGCTGGCAACACCGATGGTGCAATCGCTGTGCCTGGCCATACCGTGGTGACTCACCGGGTGGTGTAACGCCCGTGGCCGGTACGATTATTGCATCATCGCAGGCAACTCATTTCTAAGTGAATATTCCTCGTTTTCGCCCGACAGGCGGCAGCAGCAGTATGATCCAATATGGCTGCGCCCAGGGGTGTGCGTGTTGACATATATTTATGTGCAATCTATATCTTATCCTCTCTTTAGTCAATATATATGGTTATCCTCTCTATACGGTGAGTTCAGTCTATTGGTCCCGATCTAGTCCACTACTCCTGTAAGTTATACACCCCGAAATCTCCACATTATGTCAGCGCGCAGATGTGTCGTCAGTAACTCTACTTACCAGAATAAATCATGATTAACGATTACACGTTTTGTTTTCAACAGGAACAAAAAGAAAGCGAAAAAGCCGAATAAAAGAAAGAAGAAAGTCAAGACGGAAGTAGATCCTGTCACAGATGCGCGAGTGCTGGCATACTACAGAGTGACACAGATATAGTAACCCACGTCGAGTCACAACAGGAATACATAACACGCTAGCTTTAGATATTTTAGGGCGAGTACATGTTTTATTTAAAATATCGAGTATAATACAGGATCTATAATAAATTGCACCTATACGTATACGCGCGACATGAAACGGCACCCATCCTCTAAAATGCACGTGCACCTAGCGAATAAAACATGATGCGGCGTACTAATCAAAATATACTTACATATCTACATAAGTTCTCCTACTCAGTTCGTTACAAAAATAAACTTTATGGATGCCCCGGCGCGCCAACTGTAAAATTGATCACGTAATGATTGTTCGATACAGCTAAAATATAAAAATTATCTCCCCCCCCATCCCCCTCGGACTCGATTGGACATTATAAACGTGGAACACATCGATTGATGCAGACTGCCGGTGTAGCGTGGAGCACATCCCCCTATGGCAAACGTCTCCCTTATACATTGCACACGGGCAATGAAGGTCAAACCCCCGTACGCATTCGCAATACAAAATGTGACTTGCTATGCTGCCTATGCACGATGCATGGGGGCGTTTGCCATGGGGGGATAATGTCTCCCAAGCTACACTGGTTCAATTCATTGCTACGTTCTACGTTCGTACTCATTGTATATGTACAGTTTACAGTGGCTTTTCCCTCTTATATTACACACGTCTCTCGTCGTACTGCGCCGAAACCGGGAATTGTTGATTAGCACCTTCGTAGTTTTGGCATGGCTAGGCAGATCACGTTAAGCTCCACTAACACTACGATAACAAATACCTATATTGCACGGACACATGGCCTAGTCACATAGGACACCGCCATCAATCCTGCTTCCTGTTGTCGCCAATAATCTAGCAGGTGACGGTAACGCCAGTCCCATCCCAACCTACACCCACCCACCTCATAAACTATAGCCTAATATAGCAACACTCACTGCCCTTATCGGCTACCATTGTATAAATATAATTGTCTATAATTGTCCACGATACAAGGCACTTAACGTAACGATATGGATATTACTCTGCTGTTATCATTGCATAGATGCATTGTGGTTGTTAAGTAGTGATATGCCAAAGACCGGTGGCCAACCGAGTCACTGTGGCATTGTGCAAAACATGTGACTGAGCAATTACTTTACATAAACGTGAAACTTTTGTACAAAGCTGTTATTGTTAACCACGGCACTTTTTTCACGATGGATCTGTTGCATATACAGAAACGACAATATTTCAGTTGCTGCGCATCACATGTTGTTATCAAACAGGGAGAACGAAGCGATCATTTAGATCGATAAAATTTACAACTTAACTTAGAATGAATTGGTGCATGGACCTTATGGAGTTCATCTCAAACTAGCATCATTGAGATGAAACCAGCGCAGAGTGAAATTACAGAATGCTCCCTTGTATCAATCAGCTCGATTTCTATCAAGAGCTTGTACAGCTTAGGGTTAACCGTACATTGTACGTTGACTAATCAAACACGTGTAAATGCTTATAAGCGGCCATGCCAGAGCATGAATGTATGCAGTGACAAACATCATGGTTCTTACAATTGCCATGTGAGTCTCAATCAATCGGTATCAATCACTGTCACTATGATCGTCACCATGACTACCAGCGTGAGGGGTACTAGTCTGCCCCCCTGAACACGCTTTCACCGTAGTTACAGAGTCAGTAGATCAGCACTACGATCATCACCGTGGTAACCAGCTTCACTAGACTGGCACTCCAATCATCACCATGGTAACCAGTGTCAATAGACTGGCAATATGGTCATCCATATGGCAGCCAGTGTCATTAGACTGGTACTATGATCATCACCATGGCAACCAGCATGACTATACTAGCACAACAATCATCACCATGGTAATCAGCATTACTAGACTGGGACTATGGTCATCACCATAGCAACCAACCTCACGAGACTAGGATTATGATCATCACCATGGCAACCAGTGTCACTAGACTGTTACTATCACCCTGCTCCGTGCTGCTTGCGGGCCTGACTCAGATAGTGGTTTTTATGAACCGTCAGCATATCTGTTACAGCAACCAGCTTCTTTAGGTTTGGCTGAAATGACAATATAGCAAACATTCATCTGCGGTCCTGCAATGTGGCAAGTCGATTTCATATCCGAGTGCAAAGGCAATGTTTAAATGTGAACCACACCCGAAATATTGCACAATCTTCCCCCCCCCCACCCCCCGCAGAACGGTGAGCAGTATTTGAAACAGAAGGTGGCATGGACTGCATGATTTCATTCTCCATCCGAAAATTTCAGGCTATTTTGCAGTCAATATCCTGTACTGGCGCAAACTTTACTACACCATGACAAGAAAAAAACGGAATGTACAGCAACAGCAGTACAGCAAGCGAGCGACCGACATCTCATCAAACGAAAGCATGCCCACGCTCGAAAACCTGACATTACCTTAGTGAGGCTAAGTAGGTGAATATCGTCAATGTGAGTCGAGCAAATCTGATGGATGGAGGCTAGGCCACGTGCCAGCTCCTCCTCTTTACTGTTCGTCTGATCCACCAGTAACTCAGGCATGTTCTACAGAAACGTACGAGATATTTGTAATGACTAGCTAATCTACAGCAACATACGAGATATTTGTAATGACTAGCCAATCTACAGCAACATACGAGATATTTGTAATGACTAGCCAATCTACAGCAACACACGAGATATTTGTAATGACTAGCCAATCTACAGCAACACACGAGATATTTGTAAAGACTAGCCGATCTACAGCAACATACGAGATAGGCGTACCGACTAGCCAATCTACAACAACATACGAGATAGGCGTAATGACTAGCCAATCTACAGCAACATGTGTGATAGGTGTAATGACTAGACAATCTACAGCAACATGTGCGATAGGTGTAATGACTAGCCAATCCACAGCAGGACACAAGTAGCAATATAATTCGATAACACCAAAGACGCAAAGTGAAATGTTTCACTTACTGAAAGTTCGTCCAAGAACATCACGATTCGATGCTTGTGTTTCACGATGAATGGATTCACACACTCCATGTATGGCTCCTGCAATGAAGAATCGAAGACACATCACATCACCGTCACAACATCACGTTACAATTACCTACATGCTAAAGATACAAACACTAAGCACACTTCTTCTTCTTCTGAGTTCCGACTTCGTTCATCCAACCGACGATTCTGTTAGGGGCAGTTAGGGTGGTCGCCGCCCCTAGTGATTCACGCACTCAGTGGTTGCTATATGATCTTACTATTGGAGATGGGCCTGCCATTTTATGCAATTACTCAAGTCGTGAACGTTTCACAGTGCCCACAGCAAACAGCAAGATTTTTACACCCCGAGAAAATTCACAAATTCGCGAAGTTGACCCGTCGACGCAGCATCTTAGCATCCTCTACAAACAGCTGTTCTACCTTTGCACCAAACTCGACGAGGTTGGCTAGATTCTGCAGAGACTTTGCTACGAGGATGAGAGTGCGCGCAGCAGTGTCAGATGGCGTCTCCGTCACGAGGCGAAACATCCGCGGGTTAAGCAGGGCAATGCAGAACAGCCTCAGAAACACGAAGCCACTGTAAACATGCGAAAAATAAACTTTTACACTATCTAGCACTATCAACATCTGAAAAAGCTGCTCAACGTGGAAGTTGTCGGAACTTAACAGATTCGAAAAAGTAAGCGAGATTTTTTGTTTTGAACAGACCTGACGACCCTTGTTTTGACGCTGAAATTATCAGGCCATTTTCTCTGTACATCTCGTTGTAAGTAGTGGAAAATATATCGCAGCTGCCTAAAACAGAGAGAAATAAAAGTTGGTTGCATTAGCACACGCGATTTATTTTAATATATACATTTTACCTCACACAGACCTTATACATATATGCATGTATGCGCACACGCACATGTGCATGCACACACATGCACATGAATGCACGCACACACGCATATGCACACATATGATCAGATCACATCATTTCTATTAGCGACATGGAACTCAAGACTGCATAACAAGTAGCTACCGTACTGTTATGAGATCCACGATTTAAAACATTCCGAGCTATAATGCATTCGAGCAATAACTAAACTTGATGGGATCCTGACACAATGTATAATGTATACCATGTCCTCTAACGTATTCCGGAGCACATAAAAATGAAGCCTGGCACAACGACTGACATACTGACAATCCAGTATTTACATGGGACAGGAGTCTGAGGACATGTAGATGGACTCCATGATGTCATCAAGGACGGACAGAAGGTACTCCAGGTTGCCGGTGATGTCTGAAGGTCGCTCCATCATCACGGGATTCAACTGCATCAACGTAATCACCGATGTCAACAACTATGGCAGAGTCACGAGATGTGATGACTGATCCATCACGCATGCACACACGCACACACACACGCACACACACGCACGCACGCACGCACATACGCACGTATGCACGCACACACACACACATGCACGCACGCACACACCCATATGCACGCAGGCTCCCACGCATGCATGAATGCACGTCCACATGCACTCACGCACACACAATCATCATGATCAAAAACTAATAAGGCGTCACAGGATATAATACAATGCGATTCCATCCCTACCCTGACCCATACCATGCACACACGCTCACATGCACCCACACACATACAGACACATGACGTATGCATACTTTTCCCCTCTTTCTTTGAAGCCTTTTAATGTACCTCTTATAACTGCGGTACATTGTTTACAATTTGTGGCAAATCACGTTTACTGAAAAGTGAGAAGCAACTAACTGTATCACCTCACAGCTTCTATTGGTCTCCACGATTCGGACGATGGATTTCTGTACAGCATATTGGAGGAACAAGCCAGTCGTCTGCCGCATGTAGAGGTCCATGACCTTCGTTGCGAGAGTGGAAGTGCGGAATAACGTAGACGTCATTTCTGGTGCGATAGAGAGAGAGAGAGAACCATTAATGCACCGTCAGGTGGCTTGGAGCTGTTAAGTATGTTAATGTGTGTTTTATTTAAGCTGTTAAGTAGCTTCATTATGGCCCACTGTCCACCTCCTATCTCTCCCCCTCTCATTCTTTCTCTGTTTGTCTCTCTTTTGTTTGTCTCTCTCTACCCCTTGTTTCTGCCCCCATCTTGCCCTCGCTCCCTATCACTTACTCTACCCCACTCCCTCTCTCGCTCTCTCTCTCGCTCTCTCTCTCTCTCTCTCTCTCTCCCTCATTTCTGTCTCTCCATTCGCTATTCTCCCTCCTGTTCATCCCCCTCTTTCTTTCTCTTTCTCTCACTATCCTTTCTTTCCTTCCATCATCCTTCATCTTTTGTTTACTTCCATACAACCTTATCTCACTCTCTTTCTCGCCCCTTCTTTCCCTTCATCCCCCTCCGTCCTGTCCTCCCACCCCTCCATCCTGTTTTCTGTGTTACTTCTTTCTCTACTCTTCTCTCCTTTCTCTGCCTCCACCATACCCTGTCATCATTCCTCTCCCTCTCTCTCACCCTCATTCATTCTCACCACCGTCCCTCCCTCATGCATCCCTCCCTCGATCATGCCTACCTAAACTGTCCCTCCCTTAATTTTCCCTTCTTCGATCGTTCCTCCCTAAATCCTCCCTCCCTTAATTGTCCCTCCCTCAATCGCTCCTCCCTCCATCGTCCGTCCCTAGATCGCTCCTCCCTAAATCCTCCCTCGATCATGCCTACCTAAACTGTCCCTCCATTAATTTTCCCTTCCTCGATCGCTCCTCCCTCCATCGTCTGTCCCTAGATCGCTCCTCCCTAAATCCTCCCTCCCTTAATTGTCCCTCCCTCGATCGCTCCTCCCTCCATCGTCCCTCCCTCGATCGCTCCTCCTTCCATCATCCGTCCCCAGATCGCTCCTCCCTTAATTGTCCCTCCATCGATCGCTCCTTCCTCCATCGTCCGTCCCTCAATCCTCCCTCCCTCCATCGTCCGATCCTCGATCGCTCCTCCCTCAATCCTCCCTCCCTCCATCGTCTGTCCCTCGATCGTTCCTCCCTCGATCGCTCCTCCCTCAATCCTCCCTCCCTCCATCGTCCGTCCCTCGATCGCTCCTCCCTCAATCGTTCCTCCCTCGCTCGCTCCTCCCTCAATCCTCCCTCCCTCCATCGTCCGTCCCTCAATCCTCCCTCCCTCCATCGTCCGATCCTCGATCGCTCCTCCCTCAATCCTCCCTCCCTCCATCGTCTGTCCCTCGATCGTTCCTCCCTCGATCGCTCCTCCCTCAATCCTCCCTCCCTCCATCGTCCGTCACTCGATCGCTC